CAGATTTGGCTTGAGAACATCGTATGTGCCAGACTTTCTATCACGCCTGGGTGTACTCTTCTGACTTGCCATCTCATTCAGGACTATACGGATGCGGCCGCCGACGATAATATGAAGTGGCTCGCCTCCCAGGGTATCACACTGTAAGTCTCAAACTCATTAAATGAGACCACCCAGACTAGAAGCAGATATTGAACGCTTCATAGGACCAACTTCCACGCCGTCACTCATCCTTCTGAGCCGAACTACTGCGCCTCCGCCGGTGGAGACACCTTCGGCATGGACAACGATGATTTCATTCAGATTCCCGCCAACGTGTCAACCATTGCCGATTTGTTCGACACCAAGGGCATTTCTTGGGGAGAGTACCAGGAGCACCAGCCCTACCCTGGATTCCAGGGATTCAACTACTCCAACCAGAAGACTTACGACCCCGACTATGTGCGTAAGCACAACCCTCTCGTCCTGTTCAACTCCATCGCCGAGAACAGTACTCGTTTGCGCCAGATTAAGAACTTTACCAGCTTTGAGGATGACTTGGCCAGCCACAAGCTTCCTCAGTGCGGCTTCGTTACTCCCAACATGACTAATGATGCGCACGACACCAACATCACATTTGGTGCGAAGTGGGAGCGCACCTGGGTTACTCCCTTGCTCAACAACTCCTACTTCATGAATGACACTCTGCTCCTTCTGACATTTGATGAGGACGAGACTTACGCTAAGCACAACAAGATCTTTAGCATTTTAGTGGGTGGTGTCATTCCTGACCACCTGAAGGGTACCACGGATGATACCTTCTACACCCATTACTCTGTCATCGCTTCCCTCTCCGCGAACTGGGGCTTGCCGTCCCTTGGACGCTGGGACTGCGGTGCTAACATCTTGGAAATTGTTGCGAACAAGACTGGCTATGTCAATTATAACGTTGACACCACCAACTTGCATGTCAACGAGACCTATCCTGGCCCGTTGTCTGCCGGCATATACTCCAAGTACTCTTCTGTGTGGCCCAACCCCTTGACCAACGCCACCTGCTCCGCCGGTCATGGCATCCTGGACATTGTGAAGGAGACCTACGCCAACACTCAACCTACCTACAACTACACGAGCCCCTACCCTTATGACACCAAATCCGGCTACAATGTCAATGTCACTGCGACCAAGAAGTCGACTACCTCCAGCTCTAACTCCACCTCTTCTTCCTCATCCCCTAGTCCTTCCACAAACGCTGGTGTCTTCCTTGTGTCGCCCAGCACTGGTCTGTCCGGTCTCGTCATGGGACTGATGCTCATTTTGTTGTGAGGGTGATCTGCACTTGAGCTTGGGCTTAACTGTAAAGCGCCAATTGCATTTACAAATATAACTGGGGCATAGGCGATATGAAGTGGGACAGAATCATGGAGGAAAGCGGCTTCAATGTATTTTACGAATGGTAATGACACTCATGAGATGAGAATTCAGAGCATCACTAATGCCGAACGGCACTGAATCGTTCAATAACTCTTGCTATTTGCCTTCCTACAGAAGAAGCCGGTGTTCGTAGATGCTTACGAGATATGTGACTGCGCAGTATGTCATTGAGGTAGTCAATTTGTTTCGAGTAGATTTAGTGCAGCTAGTACAACCAGTTACGCGCAACGGCAACGCCAACCCTAAGTTGAAGTAAACAACATGCTATCTATCCACCAGTCATCAAGATCCCGTCTGGATCAAGATAGCTTTGGTCTCAAGATAACCATCCATGCTATGCAGAAAGCTCTCACGGCCCATTCCACTTCCCTTAAAGCCACCGAAGGGCATATCTTTCGGCATACAAGGACTCGTGCAATTCACACCGACAGTACCGGCCTCCAGCAGCTTCGACACTCGCACAGCCCGGTCAATATCCCTCGTGAAGACGGCCCCATACAAGCCGTATTCACTATCATTGGCTTTGGCGAGTACCTCTTCCTCCGTCCGGAATGTGTTGATGACAACTACGGGCCCGAAGATCTCCTCTTTCATAATTTGCGCATCCTCTGGAGCATTTTCGAACACCGTTGGCTTGATAAAACACCCATTCTTGGCATCACCTCCGAGTGTCAGTTCACCCTCCTTCTCGCCAGCGAGCAAGTATGATTTGACTCGCTCATACTGGACCTGATCGACCTGTGGACCAAGGGTAGTCTCCTTGTCTAGAGGATTTCCCAGAACCGCAGCTCCGAACATGCTTTTGAACAAACCCAGGAACTTGTCTGCCACAGACTCGTGCACGTAGATACGCGAGTTGGCATTGCAAGTCTGTCCACTAAAGATCTGGATACTGAATGAAGTCTGTGCTGCTGCAGATTCAAGGTCTGCATCGGGGAAGATAATGGCGGGAGTCTTGCCTCCCAGCTCCGCATGCACTGTCTTCATGTTGGACAAAGCAGCATATGACTGGATTTTTCTACCCGTCAATGTTGAGCCTGTGAAGCTGAGACAGCGCACTTCCATGTGTGAGGCTAGAATAGCACCGGTGGTTGGACCATAGCCTGAAAGCACATTGACCACACCCGGTGGGAAGCCGGCCTCAGCGATTAGTTTTGCTCCAAAAGCACACTGCTAAGTGTTAATTCTGCTAACTGAAGGGGTCTCAAGATATTCTGTGAGATTGACTTACTGTAAGGGGCGCTTTCTCGCTGCTTTTCAAGACTATAGTGTTCCCGGCTGCCAACGCAGGAGCAATCTTGATGCCGAAGAAGGCGAACGGGACATTCCAAGGTATAATAGCAGCCACCACACCATATGGCTCCTTAGATGTTATGTTGAGCTGGCCGGGGGTGTTCCAGCTAGACAACCCTTGGACGGTCCAGCCCGCTTCAGCAAAGTAGGAGAATGCATCAGCTGCCACGCTCGCATCGATGTATCGGGACACTGGCTTCCCAGAAGACAATGCCTCTAAGCGGGCAAACTCTTGTTCGTGCTCACGGATGAGGGAGGCTAATTTATGGAAGTATTTGCCTCTCTGGGTAGGTGAGAGATCCCTCCACGCTGGGAATGCGGCTTTCGCTCCTGCAACTGCATCGTTCACGTCGGCTTTATTGGCTTCGTGGACTAAGAGTATGTAAGTTCTACTGGACTTTGATATAGCCTTACCCACATACCGTCCGCAGCTAGCTCATGAGTAAAGGGATTGATCACAGGAAAAGTTTTGTCATCTGACGAGGTTCGAAACTATAGTTTGAAACTGCAATGAGTACGGAAACAACCATTTGCAGGACATCGACCCTACCTCGCCGTTGATGAAAAGCCGCGTCTCGATTGGAGTCTGGGTATTATTAATCATCATGATGTGATGGTGTTGACTAGGAGAGCTCACTTACACCCTAGCAGATTTTAACACAATGACTTAAGTATGCCCGAAAAATCATTTATTATATGCATCTCACAGCCATGCTGGCAGTAGAGTTCACTCATTCCAATGCCAAATGTAACCAAGCTAGCTTGGCTGTTGACGCGCACAGAGCTCTAAAGCAGGTCATCTACACATATAGCATGGAAGCAACCTGCGTCTCAAGAAACTTCACATGAACTACTGCTATGTACCTGGAGAAATGGGCAATCAAGCTCTACCGTTGTCGAGGTGGCATACAATTTCCCAGGTAACTTTTCTCAACTTCCTGGTACGAGAACGCCATTCCCGATCAACTCGGACAACACTACTATTGATTATCTGGAAAAGCAAGGCTAAACAAGGCAATCCAAGTTGCTTTTAATCTCTCATAAGGGTTTCATTATATCATACATAGCGTGTTTAAGGAGCCAGTCCCTCACGCTTCAAATCCTGGATACCCAAAGTATCTTGATCACCAGGGCGACGCTCAGACTCCAGCTTCACCTTGTCCTCAGGGCCACCAGGGCCGTTGTACTGTCCAGCCTTTGCGAGCCTGGAAAGCCAAATCATATTAGTACAACCCATACTTGATGGATGACCTATGTGGGTGACAAAAGACTTACCGGCCGCGATCATCACGACTGCCTCCCTCATCTTCTGGGATGGGCTTGCGGTCGCTGCCGGAAGCGCCTGCTTCTCTGCCAGTACGAATGCCTGTCTCGAACTTCCTGTCCACCATCTCGTTCACTCCAGACTCAAGGGCTGCAGTTGTTCAGTACATGATTGTCGCAAAGGGTGGTGTGTAATCTCTAGACGAGAAACATACTGGAATCGCTCTTGGGACCAAGGCCCTGCTTGGCCTGGTAAGAGTTGAGGTCCTTTTCGGCATCGTAAGCGATGCGAACCTTGTCGTAGTCGTTCATTGTGGTAGTGAGAGTAGAGTTTGTTTTTGAGTGCTTAACAAGAGACTTGGTAGAGTTTCATTAATGGTGAATGCTACAGAGTAAGTAGCAACAAATAGACCGAACTATATATGTGCCTTCTTCAATGTCTTCGTCGTCAGGGACACTATGAGTATTGCATCATCCTACATCATAGATATGTAACGAGTAGTGCAGGAGTCTCCAGTCGAACCCCATTTCTTACTGCTGGAACCTGGTCTCAACATCCAACCCAAAGAGGTGGCCAGTTGGGATATGATATCATCACCCCCGTTACATCAAACCTCAGGCTCTACCCTTAAATCCAGCCCTAAGTAGTCATGTCCGATCGGGACTAGCTGCCAGGGTCCGGCCCTAGGGTTTTTCGGAAAGGAACAACCATGGCCCGGACGGTCCCTCCTCGGCGGGGAAACCCGAAGGAGAGAATCCGTGAAGCCCGATGACTGGCGGCGAAGCTTGCCTTGGCCTTCATTGTTGCTTTGCTCCCTTCCCCGTCAAAGGATCCGATTTCGTGTCGACAGCCGGCATTTGAGGCACCAAGCCTATATATCTGTCCCATCTATATACTAAGTGGTCAGAGGCCCTGTTCTGGCCGTTCTTCGGTTTGGATCCAATTACCTTCCGAACTACTACTTTGTAGTAGTAGATACATCCCCCCTCCTTGACAGCTTCAAGCTGCCGACAATCATACATACCATACAATGGCCCCAATCGTCGAGTTGGCTGGGGAGGCCAACCCCCTGACCCCGCATAATGTTCTCAATGCACTGGTGCTTGCAGCTAGCTCAACTCAGCAACAGGTGCAATCGGGCACCCAGCAACTCCAGAATTGGGAGAAGCAGGAGGGTTACTATACTTCGCTTCAGGTATATACCTCAGCTTCCCTCCACCTTGTGCTTTTCTCTACCACTCTATGCTCACGCAGTGCAGGATGTATTTCTGGACCATTCTGTTCCCCCTGAAGTTCGCTACCTCTCCATCATCCAGTTGAAGAACGGCATCGACAAGTATTGGCGAAAGACTGCGACAAAGTATGCGCGTTTTCACCCCCCTCGGATCGATACATTGTGCAACAACAGACTGACCTCCTCAAGTGCCATCAAAAAGGAAGAAAAAGAACGTATAAAGACTAGGGCCTTACAAGCGGGTGTCGTCGAGCCGGCTCCTCTTCTGGCTCTTCACAATGCGTTGATGATCGCTAAGATCATGCGCTATGAATTCCCTCAGGACTGGTGAGTGCGGACGCGCTGGGAATTTACTTTGCATTGTTATTGACCATGTCTAGGCCGGATGCTATCACCTCACTCATTGCCCTCCTCCGCTCGTCTACCCAGCCTGGCGCGAACCCGTTGCAATTGCCCCGGACCCTTATCATCCTCCTACAAATCATCAAAGAATTGTCAACCGCCCGTCTGCAGAGAACCCGCGCGAATCTACAATCTGTCTCTCCAGAAATTTTCCATCTGTTGGGGAGCATATACGTGGACAAGGTGAACAACTGGGCTATTAACCTGGAACAAGGGGGGTTTGATGAGGCATCGTTGCTCGAGGTGCTCGAGCAAAGCTTGGTCTCTCTCAAGGTCATCCGACGTCTCGTTATTGCCGGATATGAACACCCCAATCGCGATAAGGATGTCTGTGACTTCTGGGTCCTGACCCATGCCCACTTCAGTAGATTCCTGGGATTCATCAATGGCCCCGCCACAATGTCGGAGCAAATTCATAGGGCCGTCGAGAAACACTTGTTGCAACTTTCCAAGCTTCACGTCGAAATGGCCAAGGATCGCCCGGCATCTTTCGCGTTGCTCCCGGACAGTATACCGCTTGTCCAGTCCTACTGGACCCTAGTAGTCAAGTTGGGCGAAAACTACAGTCAATTGGGCGGGGATGGTGAGCCAGAGGGAAAGTCCCTGATGGAGAAGACTGGCCTCAGGGCTCTCCTTCTGATCAGGGCTTGCTCCAAGATGGCCTTCAACCCGGCGCAGACATTCAAGTACCAGACACCGCAAGACAAGGAGGAGAAGAAACAGTCCGTGGAACTCATCAAGGCCCAGCTGTTTACCCATGATTTCGTCGTCAACGTCATGGAGCTTCTCGTCACCCAGTTCTTCCGGTTCAGGAAGAACGACTTTCAGGAGTGGGAGGAAGATCCTGAAGAGTGGGAGAGGAAGGAGGAGGATATTGCCGAGGCCTGGGAATTCTCCATCCGGTCGTGCTCCGAGAAGCTCTTCCTTGACCTCGTCATCCATTTCAAGGAGTTGCTCATTCCGCGTCTTTTGACCGTCTTCTACAACTTCGCAAGTAAGAAACCTCCACCGAGCCATTCCAGAAGCATCTCACTAAACGATCTCAATAGGCCCTGATAACCACGACGTCCTGTTGAAGGACTCCTTGTACGCCGCCATTGGCCTGTCTGCAGCCAGTCTGGAGCAACATTTGGACTTCAACAAGTTCCTTGAGACGACACTTGTGCCCGAAGTCCAAATCCAGGAGCAGGGATACAATGTCCTCCGGAGACGTATAGCCATCGTCTTGGGCCAGTGGGTCCCCGTAAAGTCCAGTGAGCTCAACAGGAACGCCATCTACCAGATCTTCCAGCATCTTCTCAGCAAGCAAGATCCGTTGAACGACCTGGTGGTCCGCATTACCGCCGGACGGCAGCTCAAGAACGTGCTCGACCCCTTCGAGTTCTCCCCTACTGAGTTCCTGCCGTATGCACCGGCCATCCTGCAAGACCTAATGTCCCTTGTCCAAGAAGTTGAGCTTTCAGAAACCAAGATGGGACTTCTCGACACAGTTCGAATGGCAGTTGTGAAGATGGAAGACCACGTAAGTGCCATCCTCACCCTACTTGCTCCACGCCTCTAACAACCGAGTAGATCGCACCCTTCTCAGACCAAATCTTGTCCTTACTGCCCCCGCTATGGGAGAGCTCCGGCGAGGAGCATCTGATGAAGCAAGCCATCCTAACGCTGCTTTCATCTCTGATCCACTCCCTCAAGCAGGAATCCGTCAGATACCACTCCCTGATTCTGCCTCTCATCCAGAACTCTGTGGAACCAGGCTCTGTAAGCATCCCCCTCCCCCTCCAATCCATCCCTCACCCAACCCATCTAACCGCCACACCCCAGGAAACCCTCATCTACCTCCTCGACGAAGCCCTCGACCTCTGGTCCGCCATCCTAATGCAAACGCCGGCTCCCGCCTCCCCCGAAATTCTCTCGCTGATCCCAGCCCTCTTCCCCATCTTCGAAGCCGCGACCGACAGCGTCCCCCAGGCCCTCCAAATCGCCGAATCCTACATCCTGCTCGCCCCACAAGAAATCCTCAGCGACCGCATCCGCTTCCCCCTCCTCGTCTCCTTCGAAACCCTCCTCAAACTCACCACCAAGCAACGCCTCGGCGTCGTCCCCCGCCTCGTCGAACTCCTCCTCCGCGGCGCCAACACCGTCGACAACGGCAGCGAAACCACCTACAGCATCATCACACGCTCCCTCCTCGACAGCTCCTTCCTGCCCGCCCTGCTCGAAGGCCTCCACTCCGCCCACGAAGCAAGCCAAACCACCGGCCCGAACCGCAAACAAACATCCGTCTACGGCGTCGTCGAAACAGACTACTTCTCCGTCCTGGCGCGTCTCGCCCTCGCCTACCCCAAGATTTTCACCTCCGCCGTCTCCGCCGCCACCAACAGTCCCGAGGAAACCGTCCTCTCCTGGCTCCTCACAGAATGGTTCCTCCACTACGACAACATCGGCAGCTCCACCCAGAAGAAACTCCACGCTCTGGCCCTCACTCAACTCCTTACCATCAACGGACCGGACTCTCAGCCCCCATCTTATCTTCTCAATAACCTCCAGTCCTATCTAACCATGTGGACCGACATCGTCACTGAACTCGCCGAAGGCGCAGACGATGGTAGTGGGGCTAATACTGACGACCCCCGCGGTGGTAGTGATTACTTGATCTATTGGAATAATGCCCAGACGGGGGCTGTTGATGAGCATGAGCCGCCGGAGAATGTGCGGCGTAGGGAATGGGATAACGAGGATGTGCTGCATAAGGTCAATATTAGGGACTTTATTCGGGAGAGGCTGCATTCGTTGATTGTTGGGTGTGGTGGTGAGCAGAGGTTCCAAGAGGAGTGGTTGCTCAATGTTGATCGGGAGGTGGTTGCGTCGTTTGGGGCTTTGGGGTTGTTGTAGATTTGCGAATGGGGGAGTGAGTTAGGTTTGAGGTTTGTGGGTGGTAGGAAGGGAGAGTGGTGACTTGACATTTGTGTTCGCCCGTGTGTCAAATCGTCTACTGGACAGTAACTTGCATCTTTATGGGATAGCATACTCTACATAGTTGAATACCCCTTACATAGATAGTAGCTCTGAATTTAGAGCTGAGCAATGAAATTACCATGCGAGACTGACTTTGCCAAGTAGTGTAGATGAAAAGGTAATAATAATAAGGCATGCAAGACTCAATAAACATCAGTACCAGACGGGTTAAGCCCAATCATGAATCACGACGAATATGGAAGAATGACCGGGATATCTTGAGAAGTGATAACCAAACGTTAAATCACCAGGTTGACCGTTCAAGAACACTGGTGGGGGTATTGTCTATCAGTAGGCGAGGTAGGGAAGAGTTGGTTAGCCAGAAGGTCTTGCAGGTCCCATCCTGGGGCACCCTCGGTCTTCCAGGTCCAGAAGAGCCATCCGCTCTTCATCTCGTAAGCCTCCAGCTGAGCCTCAATGTAACGACGGGTGTTCACTTTCTCTTCAGCTGAGAAATCAGCTACAGAACCCGTGCTCTTGCCCGTGCAGTCACCGTACTTGGTGGTGGACATGTATGTGCCATCGTAGCGAGCGGCATTACCAACGCCGTTGAGATATTTGGCACAGTCTGTCAGAGCACCGGTCCATTCACCCACGACGACGGGCTTATCTGATTGCATCGTATGCTGTGTAGCGAGAGAACAGGCCGTTTTGACATGGTCGTCGATGCTCATAGAAAGCAAGCCAGTGTCAAAAACCTGATAGTGATGTGTATCCATGACAACGTTGCTACCTTGCATAAAGCCGTTCCAGGACTCTACAGGCTGAAAGCCGTCCGACATGAACAAAGTAGTAGAAGGGTTGAGACGCTGGACATCGGCCAAAGCACCGTAATAGTAGTTCTTGAGGCCACCCTCGTTTACGCCACCAGGAATGTTGGGTTCATTGATGGCCTCGATCGCTGTGACGGTATCGGACTGAGCGTAACGCCTTGCAAGGGCGTCAAATGCGGTCATAGTCTGGTTAACCGTGTTCCCTTGCTGCCATTGGATAGGGCCTCGGTGTCCACTATTGTCAAAACCATTCTGAGAGCCCGGCGCTATGTTTCTGTCAGAAACCCAAAAATGAATTGCGCCTGAAATCTCACAACTTACCACCATGCAGATCAACGAGAACCTTGAGACCAGCAGCTCTAGCCCAGGTGACCGCCTGGTCAAGATAGTCGATCTGACCGCTGACATACGGCTCACCATCAATGGGAGCAACGGCCCAGTATCCAATAGGAATGCGGACATGATTCAGTCCTGCCTGAGCCATACGGTCAAAATCACTTTGCGTGACGAACGAGCTCCAGTGAGATGACAACTTGGCCTTAGCTTCGTCCTGGCCCAGCGTCTGACACAGCGTCCATTCATCTACCGCACCACCCCCCGTACTGTCATAAAGTGAAGGTGTAATCCATGGCTCGGTCACCAGCCAGCCACCTAGATTGACACCGCGGACTATCTGACTCTTGTAATCGAAAGAGCTTGCGTTGCTTTGCCGGCGCCTATACTCAACAGTAAGTCAGCGACCACAAACAGAAGGGATAGATTTGATGTATCCGGCACAACTGACACTCGTGGAACAGCTTGTGCACTAGCAGCCAAAAGAGACAACGCCAAAAGCGCCTTCTCTACACCTTCCACAAACATAATGAAGATACGGTTCCGTAGAAAAATCAGCGAAGAATATCAGAAGGCTGGAATGGAATATTGCCGTCTATGGGAAGCCAGCACCGGATAGGATGGACTTCGCCTGCTTTAAGTAGAGGAGGCTGAACACGCTGGCTGTCAATCGACCGCAAGCAACCAACAAGCCGTCTCCTAGATCTGGATCGCCAAATGATCTGCAGAAATCTTAATATCAACTGGTCTGTTTGCAGATATCGATTTCCAAGTCAACCACGACCTCCGCACTTGATTATGAGATGAGACCCACCGAAAGCAGACGCACGACAAAGCGGTGTTCGTAAGGATAGTAGATAAGGTTGAAGGAGAATGATCCACAATAGAAAATGTGGAGAACAGGTTGTCTCTACTTTCCTGTGTCGTAGACAACGTTACAACACCGCAATGACAACAAAAAACTGTCTAGACCTAGCCCTGAAGTAAGACTTATTGAAGTGCTGGATATCGATTCAGGCCGGCTGCATGGAAATACAGGATACGTGGACTTAGGCGCAGTGAAGTCACTCTGACAGGACAATAGATTTAAAGGATATAAACAGTGGAAAAGGTGAGAGAAACTGAGCACCGGTGATATAAGAGTGAGCCGGACACTCGCTGTCAAGATTTGCTAGGTCCTCGCCCATCTATGGTTTGGATGGGAGGACTCTACCACTCAATTCGCGTGGTTGAGGAAGGAACGGCCCAGCCAAGACTCGTTCTCAAGGCACAGATGCGGCATTTGCATCATTTTGGGCATTTACAGCCACTGTAGGCCAGGGGAGGCAAGGTAGAGAGACTCTGCCGCGGTGTAACATCTTCACCAATAACCCAGCTAATAGCTGCAGTAGCCTTACATGTAGCCAGGGGTCAATGCAACTGCTATGCAGTGCGCATGACCTGCGGTATCATCGTCATGAGCAACCATCGTCCTCTTCATCCGCATGGAGCTGTTCGATGTCTATTGTTGCGTACTATTCTGGGGGTGGGTAACATCTCCGCGCGAGCAACGTGGCAAGTCATTGTGTGATGCTCGATCCGGCGAGCATCCAAAGGAAGAAGGATACAGATCCGGAAGGCAATTACCAGAGGATAGCGCGGAGCCAAGACGATGAAAGTAGAATATCGAAGGAAAGGAATGAAGAGGGAAAGGTTAAAAGCCCAAGAGCAAGTAGAAGAACTAGAACATGGCGGGGACGGATCCGGTGACACCCCATCACGTGGCCCCCTTCCAAGCTGGAACTTTGCTCCCCGCGCATCCAAGAAGAATCTGGAATCCGAAACAAGTTGCGTCTTCATTATTACGACGCATAGATCTCCCCAATTGGACCATGGTACGAGATCAGGAGTTCCAACGAGTGACCGGCTCACCACCCTGCCAAGGAACTTACTTCAACCTCCTTCCCAGGCACGCCCCAGGAGTTCGCGTCAGGCAACAGCAATTAAAATGACTAACAGCTTTCTCTTAGTTAAATATTCCTCCGGACTCCATACCTCAGCCGCAGTGGATTCCAACGGTCGATAGTGTCTTGAAGTGGACGAACACCTGAATGATTAAGGGTGAATTCTCCATCCTCTCACTCTACCACCAATCGAATCAATATGGGGACTGTGATTATATTTCAGGGGAACTATGGCCCCCCCAAGACCCGATGTCCATTTCTATACTAAATGGTGGAATCCAGTCCTATTTCATCTAGAAACCTGTTTAACAGGCCTCCTGGACGAATCATGAGCTCGAGTCAACTTCTTTGGACTCGGATAAAGAACTCAAAGCGGCTTTTTTCCTTCGAGGCTAGGGGGCGGATACTAATGCGGAGAATTGCCCGGTTGACGTATGCGGCTTGGGACCAGGCCGAGCCACTTATGGAGAAAGTAATGCTGCTAGTTATACGGAAGAGAACGGAGGACTAAAGAGCCACCACATTTGAGAAAGTGCCCTGCCCCTGAGCATGGTGACGATGAACAACCCAACTGCCGACGCTAAGTCGGCTCAGAGATCCGGACCGCCTCGCCGCCATCCCGTCTAGTGTGGCCTTGTTTGTGCCAACTTGGTTGGCTAATATTCCTTTGCCATGTCCAGACGGACTTTACTTACTGGCTTCCCGAACAGGGCGGCGGATGAGACTTCTGCCTACGCAGGTCAAGGCTGAGCACAAGGACCATGTGGTTGAGGAGGCTGTGGTAGGACCTCACGAACTTTCGGGTGGAAGCTTCATGTCTCGTTTTACCCACCCTTCCGCTCTCGATTTAGATAGATGTTGTGACTGCTTGCTGTTGCTCTCCTTAAACCTCGACTACCGTAGATGCCATTACTAAAAGCTCAGATCTTAAGTCTCTCGGAACTCGGAACCACGCATTGGAGACCCATAGTAACATAACACCTACGTACGACTGCTACTCCGCTTCTGCTATCAGTCGGTCCATCAAGACAATGGCAAAACATGCCTAACGGTGGTTTCAGAAATGCCGATCGTGGCGACAGCGGCGCTTTCATCTGTAGTCACGAGTATCAAGAAAAGAAAGAGCGGTGACCATACCTGGCAGTGCGCACGCGAGTAGCGACTCTTTTCTCCAGTACCGACGCTCCTGTAATATGTGCCTGTAGATCAAATCCGTGATTTCGCCTACGTTTTACCTAGCCCAGGACCAAGGACAGTAGGTGGACTGGGATGACAGAGCAAGAAGTGATTGGAGGCGGACCCCTAATGGAAGGCAAATGGAAAAGAGTCCGACGTTCTTTGTTGAGATCTCTGATTTTGATCTAGCGAACGGAAACGTTGCTGATCAGCGAATGAAGACCATGGATCTTTACTTAAGATGGGCAGTTAACGGTAGGGACTGCCACACTGTTCTTGGCGGCCGCCTGCATCTCGGAAGCAATCAACATTCAATGTGCTGATGCGTAGCACACTAGTGGGCTAGGGGTCAGATAACCATATTCGGACATCAGGCATTTTGCCCGGCCGAGTCGGCGCAGATGTGATGGGATTTTACTCCAAATTAGTCATTCCACTTCCGAGGGGAAACAATACCCGTCAGTGGAATCCAGTTGCCGGGTAGTATAACCAGCGTATCGACTTGTGTAGCAGGTATCCATTTGGCGGGTGGACCGACCCATTCGTTTCAACGGCACTGGACCGCAGCGGACCGGAAGTCTGTGAGGCTGGCCTCGAACACACGGGAACCTCCTCCTTCGTATGTTGCCCACGGCCCTATAGCCATTCAAGG